AATCTGAATCGGATCAGAGCTCTGATGGTAGGATCACAAATCATAGAATCTTAACTACCAGGATCGTAGAATCAAAGGGGTTATTTTTTATCGTAAAGTCGTAGAATCATACAACAGAATTGCTATTCTGACAACCTTGACAGGACATCATCCGAGCTTACATGTGCACGAGGATGTAGAAGAACGAGCCATCATTAGATCCACTCTTATGCAACTTTCTGATGCTATCTATGTACTGCTGTCAGTTAGGCTTTAATCACATACATTTGATAGCCAGGTTTGGGTTTGCTTGCTTGTAGAGTGATAAGAGCTGTGAATTGTTCAATATCTTCTAGTAACACCCATCATCGAAGGACTATGCTTCAATATGTGTCACTATCTCTAATTCCCAACACATCTCATTTCTCCACCAGACCGTGCTATCTGACTGGTGGTGCCATTCACCCTGCTCGTGATTGGTGCTCCCCTCCTACGATCTTTCATCCTCTGCCAGTCTACCAACTAAATGTAATCCCTCTACATGGGGAATAAGCTAATTAATATAGGAGGTCACGGAGTGATCAATGATGTAGTGTGACCAGGACATCTTCATTGCTTCACCAAGCATCACGTGCCAACTGTTGTGATCATTTAATTCTAGAATGTGTTGTGTAGCTGCGGACATTTATAACACTCATGGCATATCTAAATATGAGAAACCCTAAGTTGAATGTTCCTAGCGAACCTTTGGAATGAAGTTGTTTTGAACTCAAACTATTATAAATAGTGATGGATTTGGGTTTGATGAACCATGTATACAACCCTGTAGGAGTTATTATATATTACTCAATACAATGTTTTTCAATCCTGTTTGGTTACTTTTTAAATATGTGATTTAATTACCTTGATCTCCAAGGCTTGTATACATCAAGAGAGATATGGCAAACTTAAACATGTCAGGTAGTAACCACATCATTTCAACAGTCTCCCAACCATAACTTATCTAAATAAAAAGATTGCGGAATTAAATTCTATAGAAACTTATTTGCATTATCGTTTCCAAATTAACTCTGTAAAAACAAAACGTATTGTTCTAGTGAATTGACCGGCAAATATGCTCAACGATTTTTTATACATATACTATTTTTATACAGAAAATTTATGAGTTCAATAATTGAACCTATTTTGGAACGGTAGCTGCCTTCTACAGGTATTCAGAGAGACGCGGTTGGGGTCTTGACAGGAACATGAAGTAGATCATTTCACTAACTCAGTTACAACTGTGGAACATCACAGCTACACAATTCACCTAGCAATGAAATCAACATACAGATTTAGTTACTTGGATAGTTGGATATTCTTTGTTTAAAAAATAACTTTGTTAAAAAGCATTTCAGAACCTTTACACTTTGGTCATTAGCTGTCTTCTTCAGGGATTCATAGAGATGACAGTTAGGTTGACAGGGCTAGGAAGTAGATCATTTCACCAACTAAGTTACAATTGTGAAATGGCACAACTATGCAATTGAGCTAAAAAAAGAACATGCAAGTTAAGTTTCCTGGATATTGCTGCCATTGAGGCTGCAAGGCAGTAGAGAATAGTCAAAACAAGGTTCACCAGACCATGAAAATAAACTCTATCATATATGTGTTGTTCTTGGAGATATAAACAGAGAGCAAATGGCTATTAACGGATAATAAGTTAGTAACAACGGGTCTAATTCCTTCTACCACTATACCTTCCATGGTGACCCTGAGGTAGGGGCGAAGGGTTGACCGCCTTCATGCGTTGCTAAGGAGTGAATTCCCATATGAAATATGTCTTAGGTGTGGGACAGTAAATATAACAAATTGCACTAGCGGGATGGTGTGGTTGGGGCCGAAGCCTTAAATTGCCTAGGGGCAAAAGTCTTCATGCTAGTTCACTACCTTCCCTTTATATAGGGGGCAACCCCTCCCTCAAATCGACAAAATGACTTGGCAATTTACACAAGTATATCTTGTTTCCTAACTTTCAAGTTTACTCTCGCATGTCTCAGTCATTTTCTCCTCGCCGTGCACACTTGTGTGATTGCGTAGTCAAATAAGGGGCCACAAGCTAGTGTACTTATCCAACAACACAGTTCATTCATGTGCCCTTTTCTGTTGTTACTCAAACACCATTGTCATTGTGAGCACACCATGTCACATTTTATTGAAATGTGATAGTTACGCATGGAAACTGATGCAGGTTTACTGCTCGAGCACTAGTATTATTTCTATAAAAGGTAACATATTAATATCAAATTGAAACAATACAATGTCAAGAGCTAGCCGAGGCATGGCTACTAGAAATCCCCATTTCCCCAACCATTTGAAATGTTCCTTGGTAACGGTAATGCAACAATAAAGAAAGAATATATCCATGACATGTGGTTGGCACACCTACGGAAAAAACACTTTCCATAACTTTAAATTTGGCTTGATAAAAAATGATGGGGAGAGAGAGAGAGCAAACAAACCTAGGGGACGGTAGTTTCCTTATTCTCACTCTTCTATTTCTTTACGAGAGGAAGAAGCCCTTTGTCTTCCTTGTTGTGGGAGGAAAAACAAGCTTCATGAAGCTCTTTCTATCCTCTTCATATTCTGAATTTTCAAAATTCTCATAGAAAGCGAAATTTGCACATAAAAATTGTGAGAAACTCCTCTACTAAGAATATAGTGATTATATAATGCATCAAAGCTACTTACAAAAAACTAAAATCGACATGCAAGCTCATTTTCTAAGTCACCAGTAGCAGCATAAATAGAATGATGTAGAGCATTATTCAAGAAAAAAGAACTAACTGTATACATGGAGGAGTCACATACCAAGGGGAAATCCCTTCAAAGGAATTTGAAAATAGTGCAAGGAGCAAGGAGATCAAAATGGGGCATAAAAGCACCAGGAAATTTTTGATAAAATTTTGGAATATTGTAAGATGGTAGGGTACATCTTTTTTCTCCTGGGTATTTTTCTAACCATGTGTTTCTTACGGTAGATAGTAATGGAATTGTTTCCTTACGGCCTTAAGAGTATTATTTAGGACCCGCAAAAAGAAAGAGCATTCCTTGGGGACCTTTTGATTCATAGGATTTTGGGAGGATTATTATCCTTAGGAATTTTCCTACACTGGTCATTTGATCCAATAGAAACTTCCTGTAAAGTATCATTGTAGTACATTTCATAGAAATTCTAACAGCCACTTCAACTTCTTAAAAAAAGCATTTTATGCAATCAAACAACTGCAAATCATGTAGGACTCAAATGCGTTTTTACAATCCAGCAACCCCGACACCATATCCTGGAGGCTCGCCCCTTGAGGAGTCGTTTCTCTTGGCTCAGCATACCATGCTTTGGGCCGATGGCCTAGACATCATCGTTCCGGAAAGCGCCTTTACATTTGAAAATCAAAAAAATTGTTTGCCAGTTGTTGAGGGATCGCTTCCATCTGGAATGTAGGTGATCAAGAGACACACCCCGGGGAATGGGTTGTGCCCTCTGTGTGATGTCCCAGAGATAGGGACTCACATCCTCTTCTCTTGCGCGACGGCTAGACTACTTTGGAGTTTTGTCTGTGAGGCTCTTGGGCCGGACTAGAAGGCCCTGGACCTGGTCGGGTTCCTGCAAACCCGTGTCAACCAAATCGGAAAGATAACACGCCTTCTAGCTGCTGTTTGCAGCACTAGCTTGGACGTTGTTAACGACACGTAATAAGATAGTGATCAAGCGGTTCTTTCTTAGGCGGGCCTCTGACTTGATCTTCAAATTTGCATTTTTCTAGCACTAGCATCCGCTGTCTAGGCAGCATGATCACGATCAACTGGGCCTTATGATGGATGTGATTATTGTTGCTGCTCGTTGACGGGCCTCACCGCAGACTTCCTAAGGCGCTAGATATTTTATACTTTATTGGGGTGTGTTTGTGTTGTTGCCCCAGTTGGATATTTTATTTGATTGCACTTGAACTTGTTTGGACGTGGTGATGGTGCTGCTGGCTTTATTTATAAAGCGGGACGAAAGCTTATTTCAAGAATTTTGCGCCGTAAATCAAATGGGAAATTCTAGTGGCGGTGAGGTAGCATAATCCAAATTACTACAGTACCTTCGAAGGCCAATCTTGTGGTGCTGTCTAACGCACGTCCTGCTTTCAAAGTTTTCGGAAGAATGCATACCATATTTGTGGTTCCCATTCTCTCGGTCAAGCAACGAGAGCGACGCCCGCCATCATTTGGCTGCCTAGTTTGCTTTACGTATCTATCGGATGTTTGGCAGCCGACTTATATAACCATACATCCAATTATTGGAATCTACATCATATATATTGGCGTGTGAGATAATGGAACCCAGCCATCCGCAGATCGGTATGCACATGGCCCCAGCACGTACGAATGACTCTGACTTCCATGGCCAGCATGGTTACAGTGAACATATGGACAGATGTACGTGTGCGTTCCTCCATCCGCTATTTAGAGAGCGTGCTAGCTGCCATCAGCTCTCACAACCACCATAGCCGATTCCATCCAGCCTAGCTAGCCATGGAGACGAAGCCACCCAAGATGCTCGCCGTGATGGCGATGATGATGATTATGGCCACCGCCGCCGCACTTGTGCCGGAGGCGGCGGTGCTTGCAGGACAGGCGAGGGCACTCCTTGTCTGGAAAGCCAGCCTCGACGACCAAAGCCAGCACACACTGCAGTCATGGGAGAACATGTCGGCGCCCTGCTGCTGGCGTGGCATCACGTGCACAGGGCAACATCGCCGGCCGGTGATCAGCGGCATCTCTCTGCGGGGGATGCGGCTGAGAGGGGCGCTGGGGCCACTCGACTTCTCAGCCTTGGCGACCCTGATGCGCCTCGACCTCTCGCACAACCAGCTCAGCGGGAGCATCCCTGCCGGCATTGAGGTCCTCGGAGAGCTCCGAGCTCTCTTCTACAAGGCAACCAGATAAGAGGCTCCATTCCACTAGGCCTAGCAAATCTCACAAAATTACGCTCCTTAATGCTTCATGAAAATGAAATCTCCGGGGGAATACCAAGGCACATAGGCAACATGAGTAGTCTTTTGACCCTCAACTTGTCAGTCAATCACTTGGTTGTTCAAATCCCCTTTGAAATAGGCTACCTAACGCACTTGGTTACATTAGATTTTTCTTATAATAATCTTTCCTGCTCAATCCCAAGCAATATAGGTGACTTGACAAAACTTGCTACCTTGTACCTTGACGCCAACCAACTCTTTGGACACATCCCTCGAGAACTTGGTCATTTGGTCAATTTAAAGGACTTGGGCCTTAGCCGAAACAAGCTGATAGGTTCCATCCCAAATAACTGGAGAAATTTAACAAAACTCACTGCCTTGTATTTTGGACAGAACCAAATTTCTGGCCAAATTCCACAAGATCTAGGTTATCAAGTGAATTTAGAGGTCTTGGATCTTTGTGAAAACACATTCTCAGGTTTCATTCCAATAAATTTGTTTAATTCGACCAAGCTCACTATCATATATCTATGGGGCAACAGACTCTCTGGCCAAATTCCGCGAGAATTAGGTCAGCTAGTTAACTTGGAGGAATTAGAACTTAATACAAACACACTCTCATGTTCTATCCCAATCACCATAGGGAATTTGACCAAACTCACTAGATTGTTCCTTTTTCAGAACCAACTTTCGGGACAAATTCCACAGGTGCTAGGTTATATGATGAGCTTAAAAGAATTGGCTCTATATGAAAACACACTCTCAGGGCACATTCCAAGAAATTTATGTAATTTGACCAAGCACTACTAAGGAAAAGCCTAGCAGCAGCGCGGGTTTTGGCCCTCTTAGTAGCGCGGGTACCGGCGCTACTAATAAGGCGCTACAGCTAACGTATAGCAGTAGCGCGTGTCGACACACGCTACTGCTACACATGAATAGCTGCAGCACTCTTTATAAAAGGACGCTACTGATATTATCTGCAGCGCCGTTTACAGATAAGCGCTACTGGTAAGTCGGCGCTACTGCTAAATCCCCCCCTCGCTATTACTAGTTTTATTAGTTTTTTTTCCTGCAGATTTGTTTTTTATTTGTTTTGCATTTGAATAGGCTTTATACAATAATCTTTAGCATATCATCCACATACAAATGTAATCATAGCATATACATACAATTAGTCTCATCAAATCATGTCATCATCATAATCATCATCCAACACAAAGTGGTCTCTAGTCATCAATCTCGAAAATAGCGATACAAGTCTCGATTACTTGCAAATACATCGTCATCCATCTAAACAATGATATACACGAGAATAGCTATAACTTTGAGTACATGAGTTCGTATCCCTCTCTCGCATTAGCGTGAACCTAAACTAAGTACTGCGTGTCGCTCGGAAACCGAAAACCGGTACACCTGGGCCTGACACTCCGGCCACTTGTCGTATATATACTCCTGGCGTAGCACTTCTTCGCCATTTATGATCTATGCACCTGCATCGTCACATGAGTCGATGATATGCAACATATATAGTTGAGCAACACAAAGAGACAGACTTGGCAAAAATAGAAACAACATAGCATAAGCATAAATAACAAAGTTCATCGTACCCAAATGGCCTAACTAGAGTGATTTTCGCTAGTCGAGGAGGACGGTTTAATTACATCACAAATAAAGTTTCACCGTGCATAACTCAAAGTTTTGTCATAAAATAAAGTATGGACTAAACGGACACATTGTCATATATCGACAATCACTCCATCATGTCGTGCCATCCATCCAAGTCAGGGAGATAGTCATCGAGCTTAGTGAAAGGCTTCATGTCGAGACGCTGAGAGGCTATCCATGTTCGGACGTCTTCCCGCGACATTTGTCCTTCTGCATGGAACATCCCTGTTTTTCCGACGACCTCATTCATGATGATTTGGGCAAGTTCGCACTGGATGTTATAGAACTCAGCTCGAAGTCGATGATCCTCGATATCTCCTATGTCCTTTGCCCATTGCAGAATATGGGCATCGCTAGATCTAGGTGCCATGTGAAGGTTCTGGTGATCCCGTCGGTACTCCAGCATGTGGTGTAGGACATAGAATCCATCATTAAGAGAATCATTCGGTTGCTGGATGCAGCAGAAGTCGGTCTTATGGTTGAAGGCGAGCCTGCCGCCCCTTCTCTTCTTGACCCTAACCTCTCCACCCCTTGCTTGGTAGTAAAACATAGCACTGTCGAGAACATCTTTAATGTAGGTGTAATCCTTTTTGTGAATGTTCTTCGACGAGTCCAAGTAAAGAGCGTGGGAGAATCGGGGGTAGAGGATGATGAGGACGGCGCGCCCGCCGCTGCGCAAAATAAGTACACCTCAAATTAATTAGCCTCCACCGTGCAAATGAATTATTGAAATCGAAGGAAGGATAGCAGCGCGGATGACTTACACGGGATGATAAGGCACGAGAATCGCCTCCTTGTCCTTATTGGCGAGCATGAAACTGACGATGTAATCCCTCGCGTATTCACGATGCTGTGCACAGACTCCCAAGAAGGCCTCGTGCATGTAGTACGGGTCAGCGACACAGATATGAGCTATCTGCTCAACCCCAATGATGTAGCTCATGTGCAAGGCATAAAGGCGGACAAAAGTAAAATCCAGCTTCTTCACGTGAAACATGTCGAATATGTAATCAAATCGGAGGAAGAACTTATCCGCGGGGAAGCCCTTGACGTACAACATTTGCTGCGGAACGTTAACCACGTAGAGTGGGTATCCTGGATCTTTCGAGGCGATGAGGCCTTTCTCTACCCGCAGCACATCGTCATGAAGTCTCCTTAGATCGCCGAATCTGGCCCGTAGCGCTGTTTCAGGTAGGATTGGTCGATCGGGGATATGCCATTTATCCGCATCGGGGATATCTACACGGTCCCGAAGCCGAGGCTGCTGAGGCGGCTGGATCATAGAATCAACTTTTTTGCCTTTCCTCCCTCTCTTCCTAGGCTTCTTTACCACCGGATGGTCGTCAATAACACGTTGAGACGGTAATTCAGGCACCGACTCATGATGCTCAAACCCTGAGGAGGTGCCAGTATAGACATACTGTTCAGCGCCATCGTCATCCTCATCCTCATCCATGGCGACGTCATCAGCCTCTAATGGAGCCACATGCTTACCCCGTCCGCTATCACCCAACCCGACACCCGGCGCTAATTGGGTAGGTGGGGTGTTGATGTTCATACCTTGCTGAGGCTGCGTGCTCGTGGGTGTGCTCCCGGCCGCCTCCAGACGAAGCAGACTCTTTGGCCACAACAGGACCCACCCATTGCAACAATCACCAAGCCGCCGCGGGGTCTCGTCGTCATCCCCCACTAGTATTAGAGGAGGCAAATTCTTGTGGCCCGGTTTGACACTGGCCACGGAAACCTTGAAGACGTTCGGGGGGATCGACCGGCTGTGGAACAATGGTTCCTTCGGCTCCATTATCGTCCCCTTCCCCACGTCCACCTTCTGTTCGCCGATGGTGTACAATATGGTGCACGGGGTTTCGTCGGCCTACAAATAAAAGTCTGCGACGTGAGACATCCGAAAGGCAACGAAAACGGGAGATTATACATTTATATTGAAGGGGGCCGATGTGGAAGATACCGTGAGGGCGTCGAGCTCAGCCAAAGAGGAGGCACCACCGAGCATGTCCGGTGCGGCAGCCGATGCGGGAGCCGGTGCGGGAGCAGGTGCGGGAGCCGGTGCGGGAGCAGGTGTGGGAGCCGGTGCGGGAGCAGGTGCGGGAGCCGGTGCGGGAGCCGGTGCGGGAGCATGTGCTGCCAAGAAGTCAGCAAGGGGAAAGTCCTCTGCATTTTTTTGGATTTTCCCTTGTCCAAGTGTGAACGCCCGTCACCAAGGAAGTAGATATATCTGCAATCGCCTGTTTTGCGGCAGCTACCGCTGTTGCGACTGTTTGAGATGATTTCTTCTCAACCGCAATCTCAACCTTCTTGTCGATGCTTTCTTCAGTTAACCTCCGTCTTTCCTTTTTCTCCTCCGTGGTCTCACGGTAGTACTTCTTCCACGTGGCGCCGTCTCCGACACCGTGCACGCGTCCATACGACGGTCGAGTATCCACCGGTTGTCGTTTCAATATGTTCAACGCCCGGTTGAATGGAGTGTCCCACTTGGCCTCGCCAATGCCTCAGACGGCGAGTCGCTTTCAGCCGCAATCCGGTGTTGCTCTCTCTGCAAAAGGCACAAGGATCGTTTACAAATATGACTAACGTGTGCAGTCGAATTGATCAGAAACTAAAATTACCAGCAGTCTCATGAACTCCGTAATGACCGGTGTTTTCTCATAAACCTTCTTCAGTGGGTCCCAACGGTGGCGGGCCCTCAGGACGTCACGCTCCTGCGGGACGGTGAAATCCGCCAAGGGGTCTGGGATGCCTAGACTCACGGCTTCCGCGTCCTCCTTGGCCCATTTGGACCTCTTTCCGCCGTAACCACGGCTTCCGAGGTGGTGGGTCCCAATGTTCCTCTTTTGAAGCCCCTTCATGTACTTAGACTTTTCTTTGGCAGCTTCGGCCTCGCAAACCTCCTTGAATATTTGAAACTGCTCTTCCCTGATTGTCGGACTAACCTTTACAATCTCGGAGTAGGGTTCCCCGTAGTTGATCTTTGCTTTCACTCGATTTTTCCAGGCGGCCAACGCGTTGCTAAACTTGGTCATGGCATGTTTGTTTATCTTCTTCATTGCCGGGTCATTGTCTGGATCTTCATAATCCTTCTCATTCCAGCTCGGGAACAAGAATATCTGGTGAAACTTCTTTAGGAGGGAGCTCCTCATATTTTCTATCTTCTTTAGATTCTCATCGTTGATGGTGGCGGTTATCCGTATGATGCAGCCTATTTGATTGCCGTAGCACGCGCGCGCTTCCTCGGGCGCCTTTGGCTCAAAATTGCCGTTGTCCACCTCCGTGACCACCAGTCTAGTAGTCCTGAGTTGTTAGGAACCCGTTGCCTCTTTGCTTTCGGTTCTACACCGGCTCCGCTCCCCGAGGCAGCACCGGTCTCAGTGCCGGTCTCGATGCCGGTCTGAATCTCAGCGCCGGTGTCAGTCTCAGCACCGGTCTGCGTATCGGTCTCAGCACCAGTTTGCGTGTCGGTCTCAGTCCTCGATGCCACCAGTGGGCCCAGCAACAACATCTGTTGATCGTCGGTAAAGCTAAAAAATTCGTCTGCCGCCCGGTAGACGTCGTCGCAATCACCAGAACCCTGTCCTTCATCGTTGCTAGCCATGTTTCCTATGATTAAATCTAGTCAATTAATTCTAGACCTAATAAAATGAATAATGACATAAAAAAGGACTATTGTTTTGCAGGAATGTTGACTCCTTCCTCGTGCGGCAAATCCCGGGCACTCGATATGTCCTAGTTTGTAGCACAAGTCATGCCGAAATTCACGGGAAATTTCGGCATGACCTTTGCTAAAAAGTGGACAAATCAAGAACTTGAAATTTGCCGGAACAGAAATGAATCAACATTCCGGCAAAACATAGGCCACTCAGCATCATTCCCTGGAAACAACAAAGCCACCAC